GTGGGCCCAAGCCCCCCCCCCCCGACTCTGTACCCTCCCCTCATGTGGCAGCTCTTAGAGCAATGACCACGATCTACCTGTGAATGTCCTTGTTTTGATGGATCAGGATCAAAGATACAGCTTTTTTCCCTATCATATTTCCTATATCTAGAATCTTCTTCATTTGACAAAAACTTACTAGTTTTCTAGGTTTAATGTGGAAATCATCTCATCTGTGAAATAGATACTCTGAAATGGATTCCACTGAAATAGATTTAATTATTCCTGCCTCTATTACTCTTAACACTTTATTCATAGCTTTTGTCACTATAACACTTACACCCTATCATAATTAATGATATACCTGTCTGGAGGCAGTCGTCATTATATCCCTCTCACAGAACCTGGTACAGGGCCTGGCATGAAGTAGCTGTTCAATAATTTTTTAAAAAACATAAATTGGGGCCAAGCCCGTGGCGCACTCGGGAGAGTGCGGCGCTGGGAGCGCAGCAGTGCTCCTGCCGTGGGTTCGGATCCTATATAGGGATGACCGGTTCGCTCACGGCACTCACTGGCTGAGCGCAGTGCAGCGGGTCTCAAAAAAGGACAAAAAAACCATAAATTGAATCAGTGACCCCACAGACAAAACAACAGGTAAGAGAGACTGGGTGTTGTAAGTATTCATGTCCTTGAAGTAGATCCTGCCAGTAGGAGAGATAAAGGTAGAAGAGTGAGACAGGAAGTGAATGTAAAATTATAAAGAGTGATGGAAAAAAATGTGGATAAAGGAGGAAAGGAAATGACCTCAATCCAACCAACACATCATCACACAATATTACAAGTGAATTTAATCAGAAGCAGGCACAGTGCCATAGAAAGGGAAGAATTTCATTCCTGGATAATCACGGACTTGTTTAAGTACATGATTTTCCGGTATGCACTCCTAAAGACAGAAAGAAAAATTGGAAGGATATTATTGATAAAGAGAAACCTGCCAGAGAAAGAAACCCAATGAATACTGGCAATTCAGCTATTCTCCTCAGAAAGGGTTTCCAAGACAGCATGACTTTTACTATCAGACTGGTGAAGATGGAAATGGCTGTTAAAAATATTAACAAGGAAGTATTCGTTGAGTCCCTACCTCACATCAAATGCTATGCTGAGTTTCTATACATTATTACATTTACCTGTATGATATCGTGGTCTTCATTTTTAGGGGAAGAATCAGAAGACTGAACAATTGAATGACTTGTCAAAGTTGCAAAGTTAGTGGGAGAGCTTTGGTCAAATGAAATCTCAAGACTTTTCCTATAATACTCTCTAATTCCTATAACCACCTCCTTCAGTGTTTAGACATTGTTACTCACCTACTGCATTATATTGAAATTATTCCCATTTTAAGACACTTTATTTAGGCTATTTCACACTTGCTAAATTGTAGTTGGAGGATTCCTTTCATATGAAGTTGGAGCATTTGGCTATATTCTTTGGGCATCTGATGGAAACCGCGTTTAGGTAACTTGTTGTCGTAGTAGTGATGATTGATAGGTGTGTCTTCTACAGTTTTAGAGAAGGGCCAAAATCCATACAACTTCACGTTTTCACATAGTTCCAAAGCAATGCTTGCGATCATCAAGCCGGTGGACAAGCGGTATGCGGTCACACCTTTAGTTCTCCAGAAAAGGTCAAGATGTTTCAGGTACTTGGGATGGAAAAACAGAACCTTTTGTCTTGCTTTAGACTCTTTGAGCGTGTAGTACACTTTAAAAGACGAGCCTGTGTTGGCCCTGTATGAAAATGCTGGCAGAAGAAGAAATGCGTCTCCATAGGTAGCAATGTCTTCCAAAAATATTGCTTTCTTTTCTTTTAAGTTCCCATATCTGCCAAATTTTAAAAAATCGTAATAATCACAATAATAATAAAGTAACAGTTTTGGTAACATGAGGCTGAATTTACTACTGGTCAAAAATGGAACTATTTATATTTCCTGTATATAAAAGAGAAAAACTTGTGGACTCAGGGAAAACTCTTTCAAGAAAATACAATGTAAATACCAAGGGCTAGATCTTCATCTCCCTTTCTTGATCTACCTAGGCTTTCAATTTCTACTTTCTTGCTGGGCTATACCCTTACTGGACAGACATTTCTTGTATTATTTTATATTCCAACCCAGTAATTTTTTCTAAAGTTGCTTTCTGATGCTGTAACTTCTTCCAAATTTATAACCAAATATATTTTCTAGCATAGCATGTATATCTATACATTTTAAAAATTCATTGAACTATACATTTGTTGCATGTGCACCAGTTATACATATTTAATTATGAAAATAGAAATTTCCTTTAGAAAACCTAAAATATCTATATGCATATATAGATACACATACATGTTATTTCTAAAACTTTCCTCCATGCATCATGCTATTGCTACATGTATGATTTAAATGATACTTTAGTAAGTATACTTGTAAGCACAATTATGAGTGTTTAGAAAATAAGCTTTTGGAAAGCAGGTACAATATTTTATTTTCTCTCAAGAGATGCTAGAAATATTTGGAGGGGTATATACTATTAGTTAACTGTTTTCAGTCACTTTTGATGAAAACAATGGAGTAAAACTAAGTATGGAATTTGGACGAACCAACGAACGTTTTGTAGAAGCTACATTGCAGAAATTAAATATAAACTATCCAATAGGAAATCTGTATTTTGCCAGCTTGTCCTAGGACTTACTCTCTGAAATTTCTAAGTAGACTGTTTTATCAAGAAAGTGTTACCAAGGTAAAAAAGCAATGCTGAAACTGAAAGAAATGAAAAAAGGTAACTTCACTATTGTTAAAAAGGATTAAGAGATAAATAGATTCTCATTTGTTTATTTTATTTTATTTTAAGATTAAGAGATAAATGGGTTCTCATTTGTTTTTTATTTTATTTTATTTTATTTTTTTGACCGGTAAG